AAACAGAGTAAGTCTCTGTCTCAAAGAAAAAAAAATAATTCTTTAAACTTTCCATGGAAATTTTTAAGAACTATTAAGTTCTCTAAAAAAGACTTAACTACATTATGATAATGGACAAAAGCTCTCAGCTAAGAATTATCACAAATGACTGATAATTCACACTTTTAGTGTAGCCTACTGCTGGAAAAAAAAATTAAGTTATTCTTCAGTCCCTTGATAATTAGCTCCTGTAGTCAAAGCTTCAGTTACAATTTGATTTAAAAAAATCTTAAATGTCAAGAACCATATGGTCTGATAAATATGGATGACATTTAAAAAGCAAAGTATGTAGTGTCTACAAAAGAAGTAGAGGAGAAGTGTCATGTGCCACCTTTATTAATAAAATATTTTATAACTCATTCATATAATTATTATTCTATATGAATGACATCTGTTTATAAAGAATAGTATAACTTCTTAATTCCTCTAATAAATAGGTGGGTTACTTAAATAATAACAAGTTTACAAGTAATACCTTAAACCTAAAAATATATTTTTTTTTTTTTTTTTTTTTTTGAGACAGAGTCTCGCTTTGTTGCACAGGCTAGAGTGAGTGCCGTGGCGTCAGCCTAGCTCACAGCAACCTCAAACTCCTGGGCTCGAGCGATCCTTCTGCCTCAGCCTCCCGGGTAGCTGGGACTACAGGCATGCGCCACCATGCCTGGCTAATTTTTTATATATATATTAGTTGGCCAATTAATTTCTTTCTATTTATAGTAGAGACGAGGTCTCGCTCTTGCTCAGGCTGGTTTTGAACTCCTGACCTTGAGCAATCCGCCCGCCTTGGCCTCCCAAGAGCTAGGATTACAGGCGTGAGCCACAGCGCCCGGCCTAAAAATATATTTTTTTAAAAGGAAAATTAATAGAGATATACAAAACTCTGTTTATTGTTTAGAGTCAGATGCAGAGAGCTCCCTAAATGATTATTTTCCCCTAAATTCACTTTATTTAATAATTGAATCCTTGAGACTACATCAGTAATATTTATTAATTACTGCACTATATAATTCAGACTTGTCATTTGTGTAAGCACTCATTTCATTCCAAATCACATGCTTACTAACAGTTGGCAGGTATATTGCTCAACAGAATGATAAACAAACAGCAGGCAGGGCTCCTATATAGAACAACTTGAGAGGGAAAGCTAGTTGCAAATTTTAAAAATATTACAAAATTGAACAACTTAACTGTCAAAGATATTCATTAACTCTAAACTGCATTTACATTTTGACCTCTGGTACTTGGTTCAAGTTTCTCTATATATTCATCTCACTACCTCTTATTAGAAAGTTATTTTGTAAAACCACCAGTTGTGCAAAATAAATAGAAATAATTCATTAGCTATAGATATAAAATACAATTTTTAAAGACTTTGGGTTAACATAGTAAAGGAAGAAACAAATTTAATTAAAATAGACAAATAGGTATGAGCCAAAATTTTTTCTATTTCTTTTTTCTTTTTGGTTGGATTTTAAATATGTCTTTTGATTAATACATATCATTTGACAAGAGGTGAATATAAAAGTACATGCAAATTTGCTGAGTTTTTCTTATAGCAAACCCCTACTCATTAGGTGACTCTGCTCATTGGAGATAAACTCCTGTTTCTGATTAATTTTTCTCACCAACATTATTATTTTTGATTGTTCTTTATTGATTGTTCTTAAAAAATTACATGGAATATAACTCAGTCTCTTTAAAAGAATTACAAAGTAGGTCTTTATCAATAAATTAGGATTGTTTTACATACTCATAATAACTAGTATTATTATTCGTTCTTCAGTAATGTTTTCACAGTCATATTGAAGTATAATTGACATACAACAAACTGTAAATAATGCCTGGCTAAATTTTTAATTTTTTTTCTTTTATTTCATTATATTATGGGGGTACAGATAGAGTCTCCTATATTGCCCAGTCTAGTCCCAAACTCCTGGGCTCGACTGATCCGCCCACCTTGGCCTCCCAAACTGTGGGAACTACAGACATGAGCCACTGCACCCAGCCAGATGGTTAAATTCATAAGCCAACTTAGAGGATGCTTTTGAATGAGACTAACATTTAAATCAGTGGACTTAGGGTAAAGCAGATTGCCTTTCATAATGTGGATGGTTCTTATCCAATCAGTTGAAGGCCTGACTAGAACAAAAAGACCAGCTTCCCTAAGCAAGAAGAAATTCAGCAGACTGTCTTTGGATTCCCTTTGCACCATTGGCTCTCCTGCGTCTCCAGTCTACTGCTGTTTTTCTCACTGAAACTATAGCACCACTCTCCTGGGTCTTCAGTCTATTGGCCTAAGCTGAAAATTTTGTCCTCTAATTCGTTACAACAAATCTATGTGTTTAATATATCCTAGGTTCTTAGGAGAACCTTGACTAATACAGATTTTGGTACTGAGAAGTGAAGTACTGCTATAATGAATACCTAAAGATCCAAAAGTGGCTTTGGAACTGGTAATGGGTTGAAAAAAATTTTAAGGTGCTAAATTGTTTTCTGGTATTTCATAGAAAGTTAAAAATGATGAACTTGGATATTTAGCTGAGGAGATTTCTAAACTAAGTGTTGAAGATGTGCCTGATTTCTATTAATACTTATAGTAAAATGTAAAAGGAAAGAAATAAATTGAAGGGATTATTAAATAAAAAGAAATCAGACTTGAAGATTTGGAAAATTCATGGGTGTGACTCATGGATTCAATCATCTATGAGCAGAAACCAGAAATAGAGATGGGATTATACCAGTAGAAACACTGCCAGCTTGGACCAAAGGCTACAGAGACAGGACAGAATGAAGGAAGGCTAGCAGATTTCTTGGATTCTATAGGATGGGGCAATAAAGCTATTTATCTGAAAATGTGCATCATCCTTCATAAAGAAGGAAGAATGACTCTGAAGGTGATTCAGAGATCAACAGTGCTGCCATTCCCATCACAGGACCAAAATGTACAAGCCTGAGGAGGCAGAAGGCACAAGGCTGTTTTCTTCTTGGTTTCGAAAGTCAAGCTTGCTCCTTTCTTGGTTTTAGCAGCCATGCTACTACCATCTAAGGCCTTAGGAGCAGGCTTGCTACCCAGAGTCACTGTGGTAGGACCACCTTTTAGGGTATTAAGGGTAATGCTGCTACCCCAGTGAGCCCAGAGTGCAGAGGGTTAAGCCAAAGAGAATTATTCTGAGCCTTAAGCTCAAATGGAATTTGGCTTGCTAGGTTTTGGACTTACATGGGACCTATGACTTTTGCCTTTTTCTCAATTTCTCCCTTTGGAATGAATGCAAATGTCTAACCCATCCCTGTCCCACCACTGTGTTTTGGCAGCAAATACCTGTGTAGTTTCATGGCTACACAGATGGAGAGGAGTTTTGCCTCAGAATAAATCATCCTCAAGTTTCACCCATAACTGAATTATATGTTTAGATAGTACTTTGGACTTAGAGTTGATGCTTTTAACCACTTCGGTACAAGCATCGACTATAGTCGATAGCCACAGATGAGCTGCGCACAGCGACTTTAGTCAACAGCTGTGATATGAAGGCTCACAGCCAAGTGTCGACTTTAGCGTTAATAACAAAACTTGACTTTTCTAATTTTTCATTTATCAAAACAAAATTGTGAACATTTAAAAATAACATAATAAAAACATATATGTATATGTTACCTATTCTGATTGACATTACAAGTAAAGCTGCCTGTAAAGTAAAACAAGCTTTCAGTGCTTTAAAACTTTCCTCATCACACAAGAGCAAAATGGATTCGTCGTCAATGCACAGCACAAACTATCATGTGGACTATGAATGCCAGCTGTGGGCAAGGTTTCCTGGCCGGTGAGTGCCATACCGAAGTGGTTAAGGCTGTTGGGAGGGGTTTTGCATTTCAGAGGACATAAATTGAGGGGGCAGAGGGTAGAATATTATGGACTGAATTATGTTCCTCCCAAATGCATATTGAAGTCTATATTGGGGCAATATGACTGTATTTGAAGATAAGGAGGTGATTAAGGTTAAATGAGGTTCTCAGGGTGGGACCTTAATCCAATATGACTAATGTCCTCATAAAAAAAATAGAGACAATGTGAATGTACATGAGCAGAGAGGAAAGATCATGTGAGAACAGCAAGGCAGCAGGCATTTGCAAGCCAAGCAGAGGATTGGTTTCTCCCGGTTTCTGCCAACACCTTGATCTTAGACTTCTAGCCCCCAAAACTGTGAGGAAATAATTTTTTGTTTAAGCCAACCAACCTGTGGCATTTTGCTATCGTAGCTCTAAGGTCACTTAGCTAGTAAAACAGAGGCTGTGATACAAACCAAATTTTATTGACTCAGTTAACTTCAGAGCTAATCTGCTGTCACTATACCACATATATCCTATTTTTATTTTCAAGCTCCTATTCTACATAAGCAAAAGCCTAACAAAATGCTATGGGTACCTGTATTTTTTCTATAAATATTGATTTTTTAAAAGGGGTAGGTAGGTCATTTTAATGTTCTCTTTGTATTCACTTCTGCCTACCTAGAATTGTATGAACCATTCATTTCCATACAAGCTCTAAGGCTGAATAATTTTGACTATGTATTCTCAGTTATCTTGTTTGACATTGAGCTATACAGATGCTTACAGTGGGGTCACATGCTAATAAACACATGACAAGTCAAAAATATCATAAGTCAAAAATGCAGTTAATAACTTAATAAAACTGAAGTCAAAACATTGTACATCTGGAATCATCTGTAACAAACTCTATAGAAAGTTCAAAAAGCATAATTTCCCATAAACTATGTATATGTGTTTTCTTTAAAGTCTATATTTTTGGTGGCCAAGAACTTTCTTATCCATGGAAAGAACTCTATTCCATTCCATTTCTCTCCAATATTCAAAATAATATTAAAATTCACAATGTCTTTATCAAATTATAGAAAATCAAAGAAAGTAAAATATGTACATAAAATCAATTATTACTTATCTTGTACCTTGTACAATAGGTCCACAGATGGTGCTGGATAGAACTCAAGAGAAGATTCCATCCACAGAGTAACCTACAATAGAGATGAGTAAGAAGAATGAATATATAAAAGAAAACAAATTAAGGGAAGACATATTACGGTAATAGAGTAAATAAATGTCACAATAATTCAGAGAGCAAAGAGTTAATATGTGAGAGCATGATCTGGGAAATCTTTGTGAAAAAGTGGGATTTGACCCAGGTTATAAAATAAATAGCAATTTTTAGAAATGGCACAAATGGGCAGAACCTACTAACACTGATTTATAATACTGACAACTTAGCATACTCATTTTAACTGGCTAATCTGTCATTAAAAGCTGCATGTCAATTCAAATAAAGAAGGTAAGAAGATTGCAGAAACATGGAGAAAATAGTGACTACAATTTGTCAAGTAGTACCATATTATCCTTGTTGTTGTAGTTATTCAAATAAAAAACAATTCTTTAAAGTCTATGTTGGAAAGTACAGAATAGGGCATTTCAGCAAAAGAGAGTCAGCAAGGCATTCCATTATTTCTTTCTTTATAACTCTCTAAGCTGTCATCTCCTCTAGTCTGGCTTATTGCCATAGTCATCTCAATGGCTTTCCAGTGTGTGAGTTCTCCTGGCTTCCAATACATTCTATTTACAACTACTGTGCTAATCTCCCCGAAACACCCATCTGTTTATGTCAATCTTTTGATCAAATGACCGAAGGCAGACTTTTTAGGGAATGTTACTATGGTTTGCACGACATTAAAAGTTGTTCCTTAAAAAAGAAAGGATTTTGCAGTCAAATATATTTGGAAAAATATTAGTGAAAAAAAGTTACACATGTTTGTGTGGGACTTCTTCAGACTTTAATGTGCTATTTGAATTGAATCTTGAAATTTGAGGTGGAGAGAAGCTGCAGCATGCACTGATATTGGAGCATCCAGTTAGGAAAAACTGACTTATAAAATAAAAACAACATTCTTTAGCATGGTATTTATTGCTTTCTGCAATCTCACCAATCTTTGAGGATACTCATGTGACATTGGGTCTCTCATGTCTGAAGGTGGCCGGACTAAATATTTCTCCCCTTTGGAATTTTATTATGTATTAGTTTCTGTCCTCTAGGATTTGTTTTTATTCAAAGTTTAGTTATGTCATCAAGATAAGCCTTGGTGTTAAATTGTCGTAGAACACAGTCATATTTTTGATGTACTGATTGATTCAGGTATTATTGGATTTCAGGAATTTTTTTTTCATTATGTTTTTGAAGGTATTTCCTATGCTTATCTGTGGTTTGAATCTTCATTGTCTGTCCTCCATATCAACTATGTTATCATCTATATTGACCTAGAATGTCTCAACATCAAGTTGACTAAACTTTAAACAGGTTTCTTACTACCTCTAGGCCCTACCTCCCTCTCAAAATAGTCATTACGGAATCCAGAAGGCCTAGCCACAGAGGTCCCTCTCCCCCTTTTATTAGAGCATTTACTTTAAAAAATTATCATTGTAAATTCTTCTATGCTCCTTTGAAATTTAAATCTTTTAAAAATTTTCTTGCCTATTTTACAACCCACAACTATTTTTCTGAAGGATATAGGAAGCGTACTTTGGAAATGTAATCATCAAAAGAGATAGCACTCCTATCTTCCAGTCTCTGTAAGAAGTTAGGAGCCTAGCTTGCCTTGTCCAAAATGTGTAACTATCTTCTGTCATGAAGGTATGAGAAAGTTTACTTTTCCTTTGGGTGAGGATAATTAGCACACACAAATGGCCTATGGTCCCCCGTATTCCAGCACTTAAACACTCTCCTGCTCCTTTTTCAGCACAGTTGAGTTTGGACTGCATTCTGGTTTTTCTTGTCTATTGAAATAGCCTTAAATAAAGTCGTCCTTACCTGTTCAACTTTGTCCAGTGCAATTTTTCCATTGACAACACTCTTTCCCCTTTTCTTCAGTGTTCTATTTGTACTCCTCAGATATGTCTGACATGATATTGCATAAACACTAATAGTATATTTTGTTCTTTTCAATATATTTTTTAAATTATCAATTTTAATTTATTAGTTCTGGTAGATACTTTTCTAATTGATAAATTATTTGATATTTTGCATCTTATTTTTAATTTGCCTGAGAGGATAAAGTAATTCTTTTCTAAAATTCCAAAAACTGACTTATCTATGTTTTGTATACACCTTTATCTTCTCTCATTTTCTTGAAAAACTTGTTTATCAATTAAAGACTGTAAGTATTTTTAATTTTGACTTTAATGTAGACCTTTCCACTGAGGTCAATAAATGCTCCTAAATACTATGCAGAGATTCTATTTGATTTCTCTTCCTCTTTCTTACCACTTCATTATCTTAAAGTATTCAGTGTTACTGATGATTTTGTAAAATTGTTAAGCTTATTTAGCTGTTTGGAGGAGTGGGTACTAAGGGAGATTGGGCAGTATGCAGTCAACTTGTTGCCAATTTTCCTACAGATTTATTAAATTCCATCTCCTATTGGTATGTTCGGTCAAATAGGTGTGAGGTCAGGATCAGAGCTCCATTTCTAGGCTTCCAGGGATGAATACCAACCTTATAAAGAGTTTCAGCCAATGTGAATATCTGTGGCTTCCATGATTTTGCTATTGAATTTATAGAATTCAACAAAATATCTTTGTTGACCCCAAGTGTTCCCACCTATTATTCCTTTGTCTTTTCTTTGATTGCTATAATCAGCCCCCTTTTCTTTTCCATTAGAAATCATGGCTATTTTTGTGTTCAGAAAAATCTCTTGCTCAGCCTCACTCCCCTTCCTTTTCTATAGAATGAGAATGAGTCCACAAACATCTTCCACTATTGGCCCCCAGGCTAGAGAATTTAGTACTGCTCTTCAGAACATTCCCATCTACCTTTTAAACTCTTTTTCATATTTAGGATTATAGGTAATATTTTTAAATCATAGAATACTTCATTTGGGTCTAAATTTTACATGCTCTAGTAGACAAACTTCAGAATTTCAAGTACGGCTTTGCCACCATAGTTTCAGTATATGTGTGTGTGGTTAACATCCAATTTGAGGTTGTTTTTCGAAGAGTTTGAAAAGATTAATGTACTGTACACTATGCCAACTTTCTTGGAAGCTTTCCAAAATTAGCATTAAATCACATTCAAATTTTCTCTGTGCAGCAAATAAAGCATTTGATCAATTCATATGAGGCATGATTAGCACCCATTTGCCTAATCTCTTTTAATAATTTGACAGGTTAGCCTCCTAACTGGTCTCTCTGCTTCAGCTCTTGTTTGCCTCTTCAGTTTATTTTCAGCAGAGCAGTCAGAATTATCCTGTTAAAATGAAAGATCATGCCACTCCTCTGCTCAAAGCCCTTCGATAGCTTCCACTTCACTCAGGATAAAGGTCCATATTATGAATTGCAATGACCTTCATGGGCTGGGACCTTCTTTTACTTCTCTAACCTCATCTCTTACACATTCTGTCTAATCCACACTAGCTGAGTGTTTCAGAAAATCTCCTCAAACCATGTTTTTTCCTCTGCTCTCACACCACAACAATCATCAACACAGAAGTCTTCTGTGACCAAATGTGGAGGATTTTTCTTCACCAACAAATGATCATTTCAGCAAAGGACACCAGCTGGGTGTCTTCCAATTCAATTCCTACACTAACTACCTGGAGATACTGTCAGATCCACAGGCTGTTGGGGCCAGTTACAAGTTTGGGCCACAGGAATTTCTGACTAATGGCTTCAAATTGAGGTTACTAGAAGCCCCTCTTTGGGTTAGATTAATTTCCTAGAGTGGCTAACAGAGAAGGAGACATTCACTTACATTTAGTGAGTGATTTGTTACAAGGAGTATTTTAAAGGATGCACATAAACAACCAGATGAAGAGACACATAGCACCAGGTCTGGAAGAGGCCTGAGTGTAGGAGCTCTGTCCCTGTAAAACACATGTGCTTTACATAAACCCCCACATATGTATGTATCAATCTTGTTGCATTTAACACACCATAAGGACATCACACCACATTTACAAGTTAATTTTCCGCCTTTAGATGCAGAACAAAATTCCAAATAAAACTCAAAAGTTGATAATGTTGTGGCTGAAATGATAGAAACAGTGGCACATGGTTTCTATTTTATAGACATTTGGTAAATAAAAATCACACTATAAAACTTCTATATCTTCATGTAGTTGTAAGGAATTTAACATTTATCTGATTTATCTGTGTTAACTACAATTAGCCATCTAAGGAAAAGTGAAGAGAAGGTATTTTAGGGAACTTTAAAATTTTTGCACTGATCAGCCAATATTCACAGTGAAGGCACACTATCTCTCCAAGTGATGCAGTGAATCTTGCAAAAATTACTCTGCTCCTTGCCTGTACAAGAACTTAATTGTCTCAGAATTTTATGCCCTGATTCTTCTCACTTGCTTTCTTTCTCTGCTCAAGAATTCCTACCTGCTTGTAGAACTTGATATGCATAGCATGGTTGTACCTTTAACCAACACATTACTCATATAAAAAGGAAATTGCTCTTACCCTTGGGAATGTTTATCAAGAATGTCTTTCATAGGAAAGCTTATTTCCTTTTATTAGAATTTCTGAATATTAAATAGTAAACAGAAATCACTGGGTTATTTTTAAATGGCATAACTTAAATTTTCTGATCTTTTAAAGGACCTTGGGAATGCAAGACTGATTTCCAGGCTAGAGATTTATTTATATATTTTATAATTAGTAGATATGAATCATTGTTATAATATCCAAACTGAGATTCAGTAGCACCTCACCCAAAAATGATCACATTTTTAAATGCCTATGTAATGTCGACAAGGCTACAGCCAGTTGGTTATATATATTTTTAAATCAGTCATATTTTATATCAAGTAGATGTAAGCATATTTTTATATAGTAATAACATTTATGCATGAACCATCATTGAATCCCAGTTCTCAAGCATCGACTTCTTTCTAGATTAGCTGAGTGCATTGGGCCTATTGAACCATTAGCTTTTATTGAAAGATAGATGAGTATCAGTCCCTACAGAAC